CTATGCCCAAAGGGCTATAAAACTGTGCGTACCCTTTGACCCAGCAATACCACTACTAGGTATGTATATCCCAAAGAAATCACAGGAAAATGAAAAGGACCCATAAACATATTTCTAACAGCTCTTTTTTGTTGTGGCAAAGGATTGGAAATTGAGAGGATGCTCACAACTGGGTAACAGCTGAAGAAATTATGGTATATGATAGTGATGAAATACTTTTGTGCTGTAAAAAATAAGCAGGATGGTTTCAGAAAAACCTGGGAAGCTTTACACAAAGTGATGCAAAGTAAGGTGAGCAGAACCAGTAGTTCATTGTACATAGTAATATCAATATAGTAACAATCAACTGTGAACAACTTAGCTACTGGGACAAAAGACTGATCCAAGGACCCATGATGAATTTCTCTGTCTCCAGAGAGAGGTGAGCTCGGAGTACAGATTGAAGCAAGCTTTTTTCACTTTATTTTGCTTTCTTTTTTGTGTTCTTTTGCAACATGGCTAATATGGAAATATGTTTTGTGTGACTTGATATGTATAATCTTTCTTGCCTACTTAAAGAGTGGGAGACAGGAAGAAAGGAAAAGAATTTGGAACTCAAATCTTTAAAAAATGTTAAAATTTTCTTATATGTAACTGGAAAATATTTAATGAAATGAATAGAAATATATATTTTTTAAAAGAATGAGACCATTAGGAAAAATTCCTATAGATGTTTTAAGATGATATTAAATTTGACTAATAAAATTTGATGCCCATTCAATGTTTACAACTTCCATACCTAATTACCTACTTATCTTTGCCTTGAAATCACTTGTAACTGCTGCTGTTTCTTCTTTTAATTTTCATGGAGAGAAGCCTGCCTTATTAGTTCATTCAAAAAGCATTTATTAAGTGCCTGCTATGTCATGCCAGGCACCATGTAAGTCCCTAGGGATACAAATACAAAAGTGAAAAATCAATCTTAAAGAAGCTTACCTTTGGGAAAGGGGGGAGATACAAAATGTACACAGATGAGTAAACAATTATTTGGTGGGAAAGGTAACAATGAGAGAATCAGTGGCGGCTTTCTGAAGGTGGCCTTTGAGCTGAGCTTTGAACGGAGCTAGCTAGGAGTTTCAAAAAAGTATAGATGGTAAAGGAGCTCATTCTAAGTCAGGGAACCAGCTAGTGTACAAAGGTATAGAGATGTGAGATGAGGTAGCTATCATGTGTGAGGAACACCAAATAGACCAGTCTATCTATACAGAAGAGTGTGAGAAGTGGAGTAATATATAACAATGTTGAAAAGGCAGGGTGGGTCCCCAACTGATAAATGGTCAAAGGATAATGAACAGGCAGTTTTAAGATGAAGAAATTAAAGTTATCTATAGTCACATGAAAAAATGCTCTAAACCACTATTACAGAAATGCAAATCAAAACTACTCTGAGGTACCACATCACACCTATCAGATTGGCTAACATGATG